TTATGGCAGCCTAAATTTGTTTCCAAATTCCAAAGACACAGAAATTAATTTTTCCTGACAGCACCTCGTTCGCAAGCGTACACATATAATGAGTGAAGTCTTAGCCTTTTGGAAATCAGTGGTACTTCTGGAATCCTGGCTCAGCATCCACAGCTATCAACACTCCTGCAGATCTACACTGCTGGGGCAAATTCTGACAAAAATATTTTGTTAACTAAAACAATTTTCTGTAGGAACATACTAAATTTATCAAGCTCTGATTGATAAAGGTTTTTTATGCTGAGATGCAGTATCCGGTCAAAGTGAGAAACAGACGCGCTCCAGAACAGTCAGTGGGTTGAGGAGGAAGATGCTGGCATGGGATGAACCAGGTTTTAAACTGTCTACATTGGTCACTGCAACCTACAGTCTGAAAAATGGCTGGAAATCAACCCTCCTGGCAGCTCAGAATTTCTCATAAATAATAAGAGTTTCATACCCAATTCTACTCTCCACTACTTTCAGGCAAAAATGCCTAGTGAAGACAGCTCCTCAGGAGAGTAGTTAGTGAATTACCACTTTGCCATCATGGTATTTAGGATGAAAACCCTATTTTGCTGTGACATATTCCTATTATTGTTAAACCTCTTTCTTCCCTTCCCCCTTAGTTTTCCCTTCTATTATCTTGTAGATTTTTTTTAAGCACTTGCACACAGAATTATTAGCTGGTGATAACAGTGATGTATGGAAATCTCTTATAGAACTAGACTGTTTTGAATAAATGTCTTACCATGCCATTTTAGCAGTTCTGTTTCCAAAGTAGACACCTAAGAGGAAGTCAAACCCATTGTGCAGGTTTTTCCCCAAATTATGCAAAAATAAATATTCAAAGAGGATGAAATGGAGCATTGTTAACTAATTAGTAATTGGTATATTAAATTCTGAAGTCTTTCACAATGTAGTAACTAAAATCACTTGTACAGAATGAAATGCAACTTTTGTTGGGTTAGCTATCCTGTAATTCATGGTCTACATTTAAAGATAAACTTATGGCGAAAATTTACTGAATTATATGTGCTTTTTAAAAAAGCAGTATGAGAAAATATTGTGCAGAAGGACAGAAGACCACATTAATCTTGTAACTGGAACCAACTTTCTTCTTTTCAAAACACTTTCTTAAGTTGAAGTTTCTAATCAGATACTTTAAGAGATATCTATGTTTCTATCTATAGATAGATAGATACCACCACAAGAAACCAAAGAAAGAGCAAGTAATTACTATCTGAAAACCTTACTGCAAAACACTCCATGAAAAGCAATGTTTGACATGAAGGTCTGATTCGCGTGTCTATTTCTACACTGATTGATAGCGTTCATCTCACAAGGCTTTTTTGCTTTTGCAGAAATTTCTCAATAGGCTGTTAAATATCCATGGTAGACTTGAAAAAAGAGAGTCATCCTCATCTGATCAAGAGGGGAATGTTAAATATAATAAATAAACTGGATTTATCACCTTTCAGTTTTACTCTGTTACATAGACAGAAGGTATTTTTATTTTAAAAAAGGAAAAAAGAAAAGAAAGAGGGGGAAAAAAAGAAAAAAAAGGTTTGTCCAACCTGCTTTTTGTGGAAGACTGTATGAATGACTGGAAAACTACTATTATTTGAGTCTCACAAGTACCAGAAACATTTCAATAGTTAAAAGAAGAGATTCTTAATCTGGTTTTTGCTAACATTGTAATTAGAAAGTAATGGCAAACAGCTGAGATGAAATAGTTGTCAGAGATCCAGATTTGCTTATCTTTTCTAAGGTTTTAAAAAAAAAAAAAAGTCTGAGGAAAAGAGGGAGATGGAGAGTAAAATTACTCACTTCTACCAGTCTGTCCCAATTTCTCTACATACAAGTACTCACAAAGGAGGAGGAAAGGGCACAGACCAGATTTTACTCCTTAAGCCTAATCTCTGTCATTTAAGTTTGCAGAAAAGAATATGTCCATCAGAGTTTCTTTAGAAAATATATAAACTTAGGTCTGCAATTTTCTGATAGAAGTGCCTATTCAGCTTTAACCTTCTCCTCAGCCTCCATTAAGGCAGTTATATCTCTTTGGCTGGGACAGTCTGTGGATTGGAATGGGGACAAAATAAAGAGCACAGATTTATGAACTGTGAAGACTTGCTACACTGTGTCGAACTGGTGTAATTCTGAGAGAAGGGTTGAGAGTTTCTGCTCTGTTTTGATGTACGCCCGTAAACTATAGTATTTGGAGTTGCATACCTTCAACCTTTTGCTGTAATCCCAAAATAAAAGATAGTTTATTACAATTCAAATAGCAATACACTGCAACATTATCCTACCACCCTAACATTTGAGCCAGATATTTCAGATGGTTTGCATAGTTATAAAAGACTGATTCCAAGGAAAATTTACTCACACGGAGCGAGACCAGAAGTACTGGCCAAAAAAATGAACCTGAGCCCAGAGCATTCATCACAGCAACACAGCGTTGAGGTGCTCGTGTGGACGCAGGGAGAGGAGCACCTGTGTCCTTTCCACCCCGCAGCCGGAGCCCTGGCTTCCCCCCGCCAGCAGCCCCGCGCGCTCCAGCACGGATCCTGTCCCGCGGGGGCTGCGCAGGGTTCTGCAGCGCATAAGAACCCCCCGTATAAGGTTTCTCCCTTTATCTCGCATGACACTGCAAACATTTGATCTCTTCTGGTCTGCAAGTGTTTCTAAAAATCCATGAGATTTGGGCTCTGTAGCTCACGTTTGTTTCATGTGAAATAAATATGTGATATATTTATACACACTATTGGGGAAGAATTTAGTAAACTCATTGTTTTGAGGTACTAGAGACCAGACACTTCTAAGACAACATGACTTTTTCTACAAAGCCTGTACGTTAAAAAACGCCACGACTTATTCTGCAAAAATCATTACATTAAGGAAGGTAAAAGATGGATAATGATTTTAAAACAAAGATCAGGCAACAACGTGGTGAAGAAGTCCATGATTTTAAGCTCAGGATATTCTGCATCTATACACAAAACAGTAATTATTACCAAAGGATACTAATAAATTCATCACAACTCAAAGTAGAAATTAGCTACCTTCGATGCTCTGTGGACCAACCAGATTCATAGCCTGGTGCGCTGGATATTCTACCCGGGGTCTGGCAATGCCCAGTTGCTCCATAACCCCATGGAGGAGCCTCTGAATATCTGCTTCAGAAACCCTGTCAGGGGTCCTGGGGCTGTGGCTAAAAGCTGAAGCCAATCCAAATGCCAGCAGAAATATCATGTTACAAAGCAAGGTAGTTGTCATTCTGGTAGCCATTTTCATCCTGTGAAAAAGAAAAGAATTTGATTATAAACGATAGTGGGAAAAGTCCAGTACACATGCTGGAAATAACTTCTGATCTTACTACTGCACATCACAGTTTACTACGACAGCTTCTAGGGGCAGCTGAAAATCTAGCCAGCTGAAAACTGGGGGGCTGAGGGGGGAGCAGGGGAAATAGGGTGGATAGATTCTTCTCTTTTAAAAAAAATATTAAGTAGCAAACTACAGAAATCAATTTTCTGATTTGCATTTGCCCATAATATCCATTAACAATCACTGCAAACAAAATGGATCCACTGTTTCATTTAATGAGAATGTTTCCCCTCCCCCCCATGTTTATTATGCTATTTTATAAAGCGCTAAAAGCAAAGAACTCTTCAGCCAGAAACGATGTTTTCCAAGCTCTATTCTTGCATTGCCTGAAAAATGAATCACTAGAAACTGATGAACAACCTGGATTATATTTTATTTGTACCTTAAGACAAGAGGCTTCCTACTTCATATGCATCATCTTCCCCACCTGAAGCAAATAGGTTTCATTTGTTTCCTTGAATCCCTTTCACTAAATGGCTGCACAGTGCAGTTTAATTAGGGGGGAAAAAACCAAAAACCACAAATCCAAATAAACAAACAAACAAAAAAACCAAACCAACCAAACAAAAAAGCCCCCCCAAAACCAAGCACCACTTACTGTCCTCTTTGAGATACTGAATTTTAATCAGAACGCTTGTTTCTTAAAGCTCCTTTTCCTCTCACATCAGAGAATAATTAAAATGCATCACTCCCAATCCCTTGAATAAACAAAAAACCCTCAAGTCCCCCTTGTCTTCCTTAAAACACACCAGCTGCCTGATTTCTCCACGCCAGGCGTTTAAAGATGTTCCACGGCTCCCACCACCCCACTCAAGACACCTGAAAACGTCGTTGAGGCAAAAATGGCTGAAAAAAAACAATGCTGGAAATATTCCCCGCCACGCCTGTGCGCGGCTCCACCGCGCCGCGCCGCGCCGCCCGTCTCCGCTTCATCAGCCTCGGCAGGGGAGAG